CCACAACCCTAGACTCCTACTCCACATCCAGTGTGTCCTCTGTGCCACAGCTCACTCTCTCCCAAAGCAAACAATGCTGAATAATCATTTGAACAAAGTAGTAAAAAGATATATTTAAGACTCTGGTTTTTCACCCAGGCACTGTACTCTGGGTGACTTTGAGTTTGTCACTTACTCTATAGTTTTGGTGTTTTTCTCTCTAGGAAACTAGAGATGACAAATTCCTAAGCTTTGCCTTTGTTGCTGTGTTATGAAGACCAGTAAAAGTTAGTAAAGCTCACTGGCAGATTAAAATTTCCAAGTTGAAAAGAGTAGCTTGAATCATCCTGCAGCCACATATTAGTTGTGTTGAAGGTAAGAGCTGGGATTTCAAGTGGCTTTGATAATCTCCATCAATTCCTTTCTTTAAGATTTGACTGCTTATTCTCATTCTTTACTTTTTTTCTTTTTTTAACTATAACTTCCCATCTGCCAACTCATCCCCTCTAGTTCCCCCCCAAGCCTAGCAATTGTCATTCTCCATATGTCCACATTAAATCTACCATCTAAGAAGAAAAAAATTAAAAAACAAAACCAGAGAATTAAGACTCAATATTAAAATGTAATTTGGAGTTAACATTTCTACTTTCAGCCAAATATAATAGAAGAACTGGATTTATACTCCTAGAAACAACTAAAGAGTAGACAAAATATATTTAAAAAAATTGTTCTCAAGACATCAGACAACAGGCAATGAAGGAGAGAGATCCCTGAAGTTGGGAAATAAGTAAAGTGATCCCAACAGTGCCATAGCTTATTGACTGGGAGGAGATTTTTAGGCTGTGGTATAGGGAGGAGGAAACTGGCAAAGCTCAGCAGTTTCCCTCAATTGTAGAGAGGGAGCAACTTTCTCCTCTCTGCTACTCTGACATGTGAAATCTAGAAGCCTCCCTGAACAGAGCAGAGTATCAGAGAGGAGAAAGTTGCTCATAGAGAGAAATCCAGAGATCAACAGAGTGCCTTGAGTATTCAACTGAGTATTAATCACCTCTTGTATATGAAACACTCAAAAGGATTAGAGGGAATACCCTGTGTACAACACAGGGCCATGTGGAAGACCTCATAATTTATATGCATTTGGAAAATATTTGTCTGGGGATCATGACCTGAGCTGAAGGCAGACCCTTAACTGACTGAGCAACCCAGGTGCCCCGACCTTAAATCAAACTTCTAAGATGAAAACTTCAATGACTACAATGAGAAATCTGGTCTATTGTGCTCGCTTCGGCAGCACATATACTAAAAAAAAAAAGAGAAATCTGGTCTATGATTACTTAATGGGATTAATGGCATATAGACACTGCAGAAGGAAAGATTAGTGAACTTAAAGACATAGCAATGGAAACCACCTAAAATGAAACACACAGAGAAAATAAGACCTCGAATGGCCTAATCCACATGTAATTGGATCTCCAAGGAAGAGGACAAGCAAGAAAACTAATTGAACAAATAATGAAAAAACTTTTCAAAGTTTATGAAAACTATAAATACATAGATCCAATAAGGTCAATGAACCCCAACCACAGGAAACATGAGAAGAACTACACGGAGGCACACCATAATCAAATTGCTTCAATCCAGAGAAACAGAGGAAGAAGATAAAAATGAAAGCAGATTTCTCATCAGAACCAATGTAATCCAGAATATAGTAGAACAACATTTTTACAGTACCTGAAGAAGAATTATGATCTTGGATTAGGCAAAGATTTCTTACCTACAATACCAAGAACATGATTCATTATAAGAAAAAAAATATGATTGTGCTTTATCAAACAGAACTTTTGCTTTTCAAAGAACTGTTAAGAGTTTGAGATGATAAAACAGAGACTGGGAGAAAATATTTGCAAATCATGTATGTGAGACACAGGACTTGTGTGTCTAGAAATATAGATGATCATCTAGAATATATAGATGATTCTCAAGACTCAATATTGTGAAGATAAATAATCCAATAAAAAAATGGGTAAAAAATTTGAAAAGACACATTACCAAAAAAGATATATGTGAGGCAGATAAACACATGAAAACGTGTTCAACATCATAAGGGGAAATGCAAATAAAAACTACGATGAGATAACACTATATACCTACTAGAATGTCTAAAATTAAAAGACTGGGCTGCCAAGTGTTAGCTAGGATATGGAATAACTGGAACTCTCTTACATTGTTGATGGGAATGTAAAAGTGATGCAACCCCTTTGGAAAACAGTTTTATAGTGTCTTAGAAAGTTGAACATGCAGCCTAGCATATGACTCAGCCAAATCTACTTTTAGGTATTTTTCCAAAAGAGATCAAAGTATATGTCTATACAAAAACTTTTACATGATTGTTTATAGAAGCTTTGTTTATAATAGGCCAAATGTGGAAACAACCCAAATGTCCATTGACATGCTAATGGATAAACAAAATAGTAATGGGCTATTGATATACACAGCAGTATGGATAAAATTGAAAATGCTGAGTGAAAGAAGCCAAACCCCCTAAAAAGAAAGAGTATGTTTTATATTTTTCTTTTGTATAATCTAGAAAATACAAGATAATATATAGTGACAGAAAACAGAACAATGATTGCCTAGGAATGGGAATTGGGGAGGCATAGGGGATGGAGGGATAACTAAGGGACACAAGGAAATTTTTAGAGGTGACAGATATGTTTTTTTCCTTGATGTGATGTGTATGTATACGTATGTCAAAACTTCCAAATTATATACTTTAAATATGTGCAGTTTATTGTATATCAGTTATACTTTAATTAAGTTATTTATAAAGAAAACATGATTAGATGTTGTGCCTTTTGACCTCTAGGGCTGCTATTTCAAACGTGGTCTTCCAGCATCTACTGGTTCTCTGAATCCCCAGTATCTTTCAATAATTCACATCATTTCTTAAAAATAAATGTAATTAGGAGAAAGGGGAGATACTCTGGCAGTTACAATGTGTAGCAATTACAAATTCGTCACAACTGTTAGAACTATGGCCCATAGATGAGATGCGCGACATAGATGCAAACATAGTATATGTTTGCTTTAGGTAACTTGGACCTCATGGTAGGTCCCAGATGCTGAGTCTCAGTACCCCATTTACTTTGCCCATTTCTTAATTACTTGTTTACCAGTTAGTGGTCCTCTGCCAGCCTCTATTATATAAGAAGGGACTTGGTCTGTCTTGATTACTTCTGTGTTTAGAGTAGAGCTCTAAATATCACATGGTAGGTGCTCATTAAATCTATATTAAATGATTTTTATTGCTTCTGTATAGAACACATATCCAGATTTTGACAATCCTTATGGTAAGAGTCCTCAAACCATCACAATTTCAGCAATTTCGAGGTTTTCTAATCTTTTGGCAATGGTGAAGTTTTGTGACAACTACCACAAGCTAGTCTTACAGACTCACTTCCTGGATCATACAATGCCCCTAGGACCCTGGGATCATGACCTGAGCCGAAGGCAGACGCTTAACCAACTGAGCCATCCAGGCACCCAAGGACTTGTTATAAGTGGCACAGAATGGATAATTTCTACATGCTTCAAAACCTATTTATAATAATTCATCATGTCTATGCTTTGCACATGAACACCTCCTTGTTGGTCATTTTCCTCCTGAAAAATAGGTCCCATATATTTCAGTGGACTCGCAAATTTAGCCTTCCTGTATGGGGTGGGAGATGGAAAAGGGCATCCCTTGATATCCATTGTTTGATTTTATTGGCTAGTTATGGACCTACCCTTATAAAAGGACTCAGATTTTCTTAGTCTGTCTTAAGATTGAATTGAAAGCCTATTGTTTGTACTCAATTCAGCTTAACTAATGTGGTATTACATATCAGACATCGTGAGACATATAACTGAAGGAATATTACTTCCCAAAGATTGACCTTCAAAATCAGTCTGCCTTCCTAATGATGCTTGTTTTTTTTTAAGATTTTATTTATTTATTTGACAGAGAGAGACACAGCAAGCAGGGGGAACACAAGCAGGGGGAGTGGGAGAGGAGAAGCAGGCTTCCCGCTGAGCAGAGAGTCCATTTGGGGCTCAATCCTAGGACCCTGGGATCATGACCTGAGCCGAAGGCAGACACTTAACGACTGAGCCACCCAGGTGCCCCGATGCCTTGTTTTTTGGAAGGTCATGAAACAGTTTAGTGGATCAAGATCAGCATGGTTTAAAATGAAATAGAACCATAAAGAAAATATAAAACTGGGGCACCTGGGTGGCTCAGTCGTTAAGTGTCTGCGTTCAGCTCAGGTCATGATCCCAGGGTCCTGGGATCGAGCCCCACATCAGGCTCCTTGCTCGGTGGGAAGCCTGCTTCTCTCTCTCCCACTCCCCCTGCTTGTGTTCCCTCTCTCACTGTGTCTCTCTGTCAAATAAATAAATAAAATCTTTAAAAAAAAAAAAAAAAGAAAATATAAAACTACATTACATTTAGTAAGGATAACTAATGTTTCATGAAATTTTGTTTCATTTATTTATATGTGTGTGTATGTTATGTGTATGTGTGCGTGTGTATATGTGTGCTTATACTGGGCTGTGACAAAATATGTGTTTCTTATGGTACATTGGGGTCAAAATGTTTGAAAGACGCTGTTCTAATGCACCTTCCCAAGCTGCCTGACACCTCTGCAGCTGGGGTTCTGAATAGGACTTAGGTTCATCCAGTTGGATGTACTTGCATGAAATTTGGAAGGTATGATGGTTAATTTTATATGTCAATTTGACTGGGCCACAGGGGTCCAGATATTTGGTTAAGCAATATTCTGGTGCTCTGTGATGGTGTTTTGGATGAATTAGTATCTGAATCTGTAGACTGAGTAAAGCAGATTACTTTCCGTAATGTAGGTGGGCCTCATCTAATCAACTGAAGGCCTGAATAGAACAAAAAGGTCAACATTCCCATGGATAATAGGGAATTCCTACTGCCTGGATGCCTTTAACTGGGACATTGGTTTCTTCCTCAGACTCAAACTGAAACATCGGCTCTTCCTGGGATTTGAGCCTGCCAGCCTGTGGATCAGAAGTATACCATCAGCTCTCCTGGGTCTCCAGCTTGCCCGCTCACCCTGCAGATCTTGGGACTTGTCAGCCTCTCCAATCATGTGACCCAATTCCTTATAATATATCTCTTTCTATATATATACATCTTATTGGTTCTGTTTCTCTGGAGACTAATTCAGAAGGTGAAATTGGTTCTACTGCATTTTTTGGCAAACACAATGTGGTAGGCAGAATTCTAATAAAACAGCTCCCAAGTTTCCATACCCAAATCCTGGGAATCTGTGAATATGAAAAGATACCATTTCTGTGATCGTGTTGTGTTATATAGAGATTATCTGGGTGGGCCTAATCTCATCACATAAATCCATGTAAAAGCAGAGAGTTTTCTCTGGCTGGAGGCAATAATGGAAATCAGAGGGGTTAGTGTGAAGGAGACTCCACAAGAGGGATCTTGTCCCAGATGTGATGCTGTGGGAGGGCCTGTAAGAAGGCCTGTGTGAGGAACTGTGAAAGTGACCCCTAGCCCACAGTCAAAAAACAAAGATCTCAGTCCTAGAACTGCAAGGATCTGCCAAACTCAAATGAGCTTAGGAGTAGATTCCTCTCTAGGGCCTCCAGATAAGAACCCAACCTACTGACACCTTGACTCTTATCTGGTGAAACCTGAAGCAGAGAACCACCCAGTTGAGTCTGCCTGGACTTTGGACCTACAGAATTGGGATAATAAATGGGTGTTGTTTTAAGAATTTGTGGTAATCTGTTTCACAGCAATTGAAAACTAATGCAGTCATGGAGATGTGTTTTCCTGTGGCAGCATTAGCAGAGATTTAGGGGCCAGTCATTGGTATCAGGAGACAGGGTGTAGGACACCTGTTTTGGCTGGTGCAGACCTAGCAGGTGTAATGGCTCTGGAGCCAATGGTTCCAGTGATGGCCTCCTTGTTTCTAGCTTTCCCATTGTGGCAGAGGCTGGGGTTACTCTGGCAAGACAGTTTTTCAGTGTTGTTCTTGGATTCTGGAAGTGCAGTCTACACCCCATTTATCCAGTCCTTCCAATGATGCTTTGAGCACCCAATTGCTTATATTAAATCACTGCTTAGATATAAGATAATTTTTGTTATATGCTACTGAACCTTGACTATTTTATTTCCAAATCTCTCCTACTTTTTAAATATAATGACATCTGTCAGCTTATTTAAAATTCTGAAGAACTGACCGCTCCTTACTTCTTGAAAATCCCTCTTCTTTTGTTTTTGATGACATTTCACTCTCTGGTTTCTCTTATATAACTCCTTTACTAATTTTCATTCTATTTTGCTGGCTCATTTTCATTCATCAGACATGTATTGAGCATGTACTAGGTTGTAGGCACTGTATGCAAAGGGCAGAGGCCTCATCAAGAACTGATCATGGACCTTGTCCTCCAGGGATTTGCCAATATGTAAACAAGTTAACTATAATGAGTTGATAACATCTGTAATAGAGGTGAATAAATGTATTCTACAAGCCCAAAGAAGAAAACACATGGCTCTCTGGGAGCAACCAGGGAGTGCTTTACAAAAATGATGGCACCTGATGGTCTTCTAGAGTAGATGTGTCTCAGGCAAAGTAAGGAAGGGCATTCCAGGCAGAAGAAACAGGGCAAAGGCATGAAAGTTTGAAAATGTGACACATTAAAGGAGTAGCAAAAAGTTTTCTGTGACTGGTTTTCTGGGGGGAAGGAAGATTGGTAGAAAGTCAGGATTTGTATAGAAGGTAACACACGAATTGTATTTAGAAACAAGAGTTTACAGGAGATAGTTACTGTACTAGAAATCTTAACCTTTGATGACTACCCATTACATTCAAATAAATCTGAAGCCACTTCTTGGCTTGGTTAAAAGGTTATCATCTGACTAACTCTTTAGGCTTACTCTCATCCCATTTTCCTCATCCATTCACTCATTTACTCATTCACTTATTTAGTCAAAGAGGTATGTTTGTGTGGGTGCATATCATGTAACATGTGAAGTTCATTATAAGGACTTTGGCTTTTATTCTAGATGAGATGGAATGTCAGTTGAGTGGTCTGATCTAATTTACATTTTAAAAGAATCACTGGCTACTGTCTGGGGAGTAAAATGGGGTGGAAGGCAAGCATATAAGCAATGAGACAAATAAGGAAGTTATTGTAATAATCCAGAAATAACTGTGGCATGGATCAGCATAGAAGTGGTGGAGATAGTGAGAAAGATTATGATCCTGTATATATTTTAAAGGTGGATATGATAGGATTGCTGGTGGATTGAATGTAGGGTATAAGAAAAATGAGGTATCAAGGGTGATACCAAGGTTTGGGCTGGGTCACATGATGGAGATAGGTTTTTTTTTTAAATTAAGATTTATTTATTTATTTTAGAGGGTGGGGGGACAGAGAGAGAAAATCTTCAAGCAGACTCCCTGGGAGCCTGACATGGGGCTCAATCTCATGACCCATGATATCATTACCTGAGCCAGAACCAAGAGTCTGACGCTTAACCGACTGTGTCATCCAGACACCCCAGGGGTCACTTTTTTAACATAGTGATTTTGAGATGCCTGTCAGACATTCAAGCTGCATTTTAAGCATGCAGTTAGACATAGGCATCTGGACTTAGAAGAGAGGTTGAGGCAGGACTCATGGGTGGTTTACTTGGTATTTGAAACCATGACATTGAATGAGATCACCTAGGGAGTGAGAGTAGATGAGGAAGAGAAGTCATGCAAGGGCTGAGCACCAGGGTCTCCAGCTCTTAAAGTTCTGGAAGATATGAAGAATCAGCAAAGGAAACTGGAGGGAGTGGCCACTGAAGGAGGAGGAGAGACCATCAGGAGGGTGTCAAGTCCTGGAAGCCTAGTGAAGAATGTGTTTCGAGGAGGGAGGGATCAGATGGGTTAAGTGCTGAGGGCAGGTCAGGTCAAATCGGATGAGGTCAAAAAAATGATCATTGGGGGCGCCTGGGTGGCTCAGTTGGTTAAGCGACTGCCTTCAGCTCAGGTCATGATCCTGGAGTCCCTGGATCGAGTCCCGCATCGGGCTCCCTGCTTGGCGGGGAGTCTGCTTCCCCCTTTGACCCTCCCCTCTCTCATGTGCTCTCTCTCATTCTCGCTCTCTCAAATAAATAAATAAAATCTTTTAAAAAAAATGATCATTGGATTTTGCAATGTGGAGATCATTGACACATGACAAGAGACATTTCAGTAGCACCAGGGAAAAGCCTAATTGGAGTGGGTTCAACAGAGAATTGAAGAAGAGGGACTGCAGATGGTGGGTAAGGCAATTCTTTCAAGGAGTTTTGTAACAAAGTCATGGAGAAAAATGAGGCAGTGGTAGGAGGGGAAGGAAACGGGGTCAAGAGAGGGCTTTTTTTTTCTCTTTAAAATTTGAGAAGTAACAGCATTTTTGTATTTTCCATTTTGCTGATGGATATGATGATGCGGGAGAGTGGGGAATGATTACTTACAGCAATGTCCTTGAGAAGGCGAGAGTGCCTTGAGTCTACTGTCCAAAGAAGTGCTGGCTCAGAGAGGGATGAACAGATCATTCATGCTAATGTTGGTGAATGCAGAGCGCATGGAAATAGATGTAGATGAAATAGTAGATGCGGTAGCAGGTGATTTTTGCAAATTCTCTTCTCACTGATTTGATTTTCTGAGTGCATTAGTAGGCAAAGTTATAAGATAGGAGTGAGGAAGGGGTAGGGAACAGGTGGAGGTTTGCAGAGAAAGAACTTGTTGAACTAATAGTCTATGAGTGAGCAGCCTATGACCTCACTTGAGGTCAGTAGCCCTCAAGTAACAGTTTTGTGTTTTTCTCTAATTACATTGGGTGTTGATATGGATAGGAGGTGAGTTAAATTGAACTTCTTACAGTTCCCCACTCCTTTACTTTTGCACAGGTAAGGTTGCATCTGCCTGGAATGCCTTCTCTACCCTCTTTACTCATCTTTCAACTTTTGTCTCCACCACCACTTACTTAAGCCTACCAGGCAGAGTTAATTACACCCTTCTTGGAACTATTGTGCTACCATGTGCATCCCTCTATTGTAATTGTTGTGCTATTATAATATTTTGTTTCTCTCTCTCCCTAGTTAATTTGGCCCCTCCTTGAGGGTATCAATTTGATTATTGCAATTCCTAGTATAGTGTTTGGCTTATGGTTGGCATTCATTAATTTCCTGTTGAATTGAATTGAGTTCCATGGAGATTGGACAGGAAGGGTTGGCTGGTAGGAGAGGTAGGGTCTAGAGAAAGAAAGAGTGGTAACATTTAGAACCAGACTCGGCTGCTCTATGAGGAGGGGAGGTCCTGCCCCTGAGGGTGGGTAAGGTAACTGCTAACTCATCTCTAGTGGTGGAGTGAATAGGGCCTGAACCCCAAATGAACTTATGTAAACTGGGTCAGTAATATTCACTTCTACAGAGTTTGCATCAAGGATCAAAAGAGTTCATATATGCAGAAGGATTTTGTAAATGAAAATGTACCACATAATGTAAGACACTTTTTCTTACAGTACTCTGTGCCAAGATAATAGAAATGTGTTGAATTTGTACATTTTACTAGAGTATAGGCTGTATAATGAAGGAAGAAAAGGATGGTTAAAAATAAAAAGAACGATTATAGCTATAATCTTCTTGTTGGCCTTTCTACTCTTAAAAGTCTCTTTGGAAGATATCATCATGGTCTCTTCAGTTACAGCATGTTCCACTGCCTCTCATTGTCTCTGAGCCAAGAGCCCTAATGTGACCTACTTTACTAGGCCAGGTGGTGTCGTAGACAAAAGTGCCAGCTCATTCTGCAGGAAGCAGAGGCTAAGGAGCCTGCTGATCTGAGTGGCTGGTATCACAATGCACAGGTTTGGGAAGTGCCTGTGCTCAGAAAAGGCCAACCTCCCACAACATTCTAAAACTCAAGAGAACTTTCTAACACATTGGCAGTGTTAACAATTCCAAAGCAATAAAGTGTTTGATTCTTGATGTTGACTTGAAGTAGTGTTAACATAGGTTCTGACTTTTATTGTTAGTTAATTGTTCATGTAGACTTGGCTTCACTTTCCCTTAAGTTTCAAGTTTCATAAAGGCAGGGACCATGTTCTATACTTCATACCCTCTGCCCACGCATGCCTACCACGGTATTTTATGGATTCTCAATTACCATCTGTTATTGATTGGGATTGTTAGTAGATGTCAGACAGCTTTTGTGGTGACCAGGTATTGACAGAGCATAATGAGAAAGGCAAAGATAGAGCTTTTTCTACTATATAAACCACATGTTGTTTAACCTGAAATCCTGGGAACATAAGATGTCCTGCACGAATGACTGTGAGTTTAGGACACTGTTTTTCTACCCCTTCTTCCCAATAATTTAAAATGCCTTTATGGCAGTTTATCTTCCTTTCACTCCCTAACTTAAAATAATTTACAGTATTGCTTTTGGTCTACCTGCTCATGTGCTAAAAGAAGCAGCCCTGAAAACACATAGTTGTTGCATTTTGATGTATACCAAGAAGGTTGCCTTGCTTGCTGACTTTGTAGAGTGGGTTGGGTAAACACACTTCTGAGAGGATCTAAGATGCAAGTATATATCTTGGGCAGAGCAGCATGTTGGTCCATTATCATCTAGGGTAAAAGTCAGCTTACTTCCTGTAGAATTGGTCATATTAGTGACATGAAGGAATGAAAAATAGGACAGATTAGTTTTGATGATCATAACAGTCTGGGACATGGAGTGATGCCCATGAAAAAGCAAAATAAAAACACCAGACTGGGGACTCAAATTAAGAGATGTCTCAGAAAGCAGAATCATGATGCCAGAATGAGGAGCAAAGATAAAGGCTGTCTAAACTCTAGAGGTTGGAGAATTTGCTCCAGCAGGGAGAAAACTCCTTCAGAGTTAGGGCAGAGGCTGGGCAGTGTTCTACAGGCCCCTTATTACCACTTCTGGGCCATTATCTTTCTGCTCCCCTGAAATTCCTGCCTCCATCCACATCAGCCCATCTATTCAATCCCAGGTAGCACCCTTTTTTCATGAACTCTCTGGAACCCCCTTCATACTCTTCTCACCTTGCTCATGCCTCTGGTGTGGACAATTTCAGAATCCTGGTGTAACTGGCCCAACAATGTAGCTTCAGTGTTCTTAAACATTTCTGACTCCCACAACCTTAACCACCAGTTTCCTTTAGCAGCTAACTTCTGTAGCTGTGCTCTGGGCTCTACTGTCACCCAGATGTCTCATGCTGGAATTGCAAACTTAACCTGCTGATCTCTCAAAAGAGCCTCCCCTGACCAGGTGGACCCCTGGTCACTTGACCCCACAACTTCTCTTCTTCAGCCTGATGGACACCTGTGGTCCCTACTCCCTCACTCTCGTTTCCCTGTCTGCTGTCCCTTGGGGCTCCACTTCCTTTCCTAATCCAGTGTACAGCCCACAGTATGTCACTTTGTGTCAGAGCCTCCTTGTCCTCTACTGCATCTTGCCTTGCTGGCCTTGAAGCTTGGAGGAGTCCCCTCTTTTCTTACCCCCTCCTCTCTCACACTCGGCTTACTGAGCTGCTAGAGAGAATCACAGTCATTGGTGTCACTCACTATAATGTTATGGCTGTGATGTTAGCTGACCCTTATGGCTCCTTGCCAGTCTTAAAGGGGTCTGGTCACCTACTATTTCCACTCCCCACAGCAGCTATTCCAAACCTCCATCATTTTCTGCAACCCATCTTTTTCACCTTTTCTTGGGAAATGACTCTTTTTTTTTTTTTAAGATTTTATTTATTTATTTGAGAAAGAGAGAGAGAGCACACAAGCAGGGGGAGTGGCAGAGGGAGAGGGAGAAGCAGGCTCCCCACTGAGCAGGGAGCCCGACTTGGGGCCGATCCCAGGACCCTGGGATTATGACCTGAGCCAAAGGCAGACGCTTAACCACTGAGCCACCTAGGCGCCCCTCTTGTGAAATGACTCTTATTTCATAGATAGAACTTAGATTATAGACACCTTCAAACTTTCACTCAGTCCCCTATAACCACAACTTTCAACATGCTCCAATATTTCTCAATCTCAGTCTGAGAAAAATTTTTTTTCCTTTTCCAACTCTAGATTCATTCATTCATTCAATGATCACTGAGAACCACATGCGTCCTAACAAGCACTGCGCTATATATGCTGAGGATATTAGAGATGAAGAAGATGTAGACCCTATGCACAAGGAGCTTAAAATCATATAGAGGAGACAGATATTATGGTGTAATAACTGAAATATGCATGGAGCATTATAAGAGTGTGAGGAGAAAAGCCACCTAACTCAGCTTTCATGGGAAGGAGATGGTGTCATGAGGGATATTTCAGATGGGGTGGTGGCTTGAGCTAATCCTTAAAGAGTCAGTGGGTGTTAATTAGGCAAAGTTGGAGTGGGAGGAGATTGGAGGGTCAAGGATTAGAGGGCAGGGAAAAGTGATATTAAATATAGGAAGAGGGTATAAGTAAAAATAGGAAATTGAATTGTTGTTATTCTTGACTGTGTCCCAGACTTCATTATGTGGCCATCCCACAAATAACCTGAAACTAACACATTTTCCCCAAATTTCCTTCACCTTTTTTAATTCTTTATCTTACTTTAATTCCTCTTGTTCCCTGCCCTCCATGATTCAACTTGTAACTAACTTCTGTTGATTCTACAGCATCAACATTTCTTGTATGCCTGTCCTTTCTCCATATTTGCTTAGCGTCAGCGTGATAGTCTCTAAATGACCTCACATCTGTACTCCTCTTAGAAAGAGTGATCTTTCTAACATGCACAACTTACTACATCACTGCCTGGTCAAGCTGTGGCTCCCCCACACTCCAGCATGATAGGAAAAGCTTTTCCCACCCAGCCCCTGGCCCCACCTTTGCATCCTTACTGGTCCCTGGCCATTTGTTCATGCTCCTAGGCTCTTGCATGATCAACTATCAGCAATTTTTTGATATGCCCTATTGTTTTATACTTAGATGTCTTCCCCCTCCCCACAGGTACAACATTTTGATGCAGCATCTTAAAATGAACACATTTTAATGCAGTCCAAAACAACCAGCAAACATTTAACCTATTCTTTCTTTCTCTTTCCTGAATAATGGCTATAATAGACACTTTTTTAATTTTTAATTTATTACTTAAGTATAACATACAGTGTTATATTACTTTCAGGTGTACAACATAGCGATTTGACAATTCTATACATTACTCAGTACTCACCTAAGTGTAGTCACCATCTGTCACCATAGCATGCTGTTACAATATTGACTATATTCCCTATGCTATACTTTTCATCTCTGTGAGTTATTTATTTTATAACTGGAAGTTTGTACCTCTTAATCCCCTTCCCCTATTTTGCACATCTTCTATCTACCTCCTCTCTGGCAACCACCAATTTGTTCTCTGTATTTAAGAGTTGGTTTGCCTCTTTATTTGTTTTTTTTTTATTTTGTTTGTTTTTTAGATTCCACATACAAGTCTAATTATATGGTATTTATCTTTCTCTGACCTATTTCACTTAGCATAATAC